TGACGGCAAACTGGTCCGTCAAGCCCGCCACCTTTGCGGCCGCCATATTTTGCCGAGTGGCCGCATCCCGCAAAGACTAATTTTTGCCGACGGCTAGAATTTGCCGAGTGCCGGCACCCGGCAAAGGCTGCTTTGCCGGAGGCCTTTATTTGCCGGGTGCCTCCAGGCCTAGCACTCGGCAAAGAATTCCTTTGCCGGGTGCCCGATAAAAAGCACCCGGCAAATTTTTTTGCTCCTGGCAAATCAGCCGTTTCCTGTTGTGAAAGTTTGGATTTTTTTTTTCCTGCTTAAACAAGGTATGTGCACACATGTTTTCAACTTGCTTGCTGACAAGCAATTGCACTGCAGGGTTTACCTAAATTTTGAAATTTAATATGTTCCGCTATACAAAGTTTTCCTCGGTGTCATGAACTTCACTATCCTGCTTTGCTCTTTTGTTGTTGTTGCCCAATAGTTGAATATGTGTTTTCTTTTTTCCTATTTGAATGTTATATATGATCAGACAGCTCAACAGCTGGATGGGAGTAGGTTCTCTCGCTCAGCTGACAGAAGAGCGTGATGTATGAACTATAAGAATTGTGTACAATTGCATTGAATATACTGGTGGTATACATGAAAAAGAATCAACCGAGATAGTTTATCAACATAGAGATAGGGACCAAGCAAAGCCCTTTCTTCCTCAGCTCATTACTCTCATATAGCGCCTTCTCGTTGTTACTAAAACTATTGATGACTTCTTGATCCACGCCAGTCGCCTGCTGTTTTGAACCCATAGCTTCGAAGTATTTGGCCTGCAGTATTCCAAGAAAACACAGGTGTAAGTACAACTAGGGGCAAGTAATCACCATCTTGAAAAACTAGATGTCAAAGCTGTAGATGAGCAAGCGTACCATGAGCTGGGGCATGTTGAAATCTTTCGCATCCATGGTTGACATTTGCTTCAAATCGAAATGTTCCATGGTCGCTATCTGCACAGCAAGTCCACAATCACGTAACGTTAGAAGATAAGCTATGCGCTATGCTGTTAGAAAAGGCCTAACCAGGGAGTCTTTTGCTAACCTTTTGGCCAGCTGCAGAAGAACAGGCAGTGTCCTGTAGGGCCTCATCCTCCTCGTCGTCGTCGCACATGAGCTCAGACGTGACGAAGGAGGCGTCGTCGCCAAAGGAATGGAAGGAAGAAGAGAAGCCGGAGGAGAAGCTGCTGCCGCCAGAGACCGCTGCATGCTGATCGTCCATCTCTTGCGGCGTCGAGGCCAGGAAGTTTGCGATGTGCATGGCCCAGCTGCTCTCGCCGGCTGACATGGTAGATGTGGCCGCCGGGCTTACGCATGAGGAGGAGGGTGATTTGTTCTCCATTGTGACCAGTGCCCGTAAGTATGAAGCAGTAGGAGCTATCAGCAGCAGCAGCAGAAAGCAGAAGCTCTTGTTCTTTGATGCTATGCTTTGTTTGTTGTCTGGATGGGATGGGAGTGAAGAAAGCTCGCTAGAGTCCCTGGGTAATATATATACGAGTCCAGGGACGACTATCGACCAGTGGTAGCAGCAGTACATGCATATGAACTGTCTGCGTGTAGAATACAGTTGAGAAATCCCTCTCTAAGAATCTTCTCGTTAGTTGCGTATGTTAGTCGGTAATGATCACATGCTAATCGAGAGCTATATATATATCCTTATTGACCTAGTATATAGTAGAGCGCATATGTGTATATATCGTGGTACGGTGTACTATATAGTGTGGTTATTATGGTGACGACTGTATTTTTTAGTCCTTGAATGGAAACAAAAGAAAAGAAGTCTAGTTTTGTGGCGAATGAAGCGTGGCGGTTGGGATCTATATCAGCTCCGGCCAATGATACGCTGTGTGCATGCGGGCGCGTGAAACGGAGCAGGCTCGGGTGGTCCCCGCACATGCGTGGGCCTGCGCAGCTTCCAAAGCAGGGTGGGTGCGGGGTGAGGGTGCTTAGTGCGTTAGACGCAAGTGTGGGAGTACCGTCCGACGCTATGATCGGACGTCTGGACGCTAGCAAATACCTTAAAAAAAAATGCATCGTATCAAGGTTTCGCTGAGGGGTGGCCATCTCCGTGGATTCAGCGAGGCCATGAGATCTCGCCATGTAGTCTTCTGTCCTATTCTGATCCTGGCTATTGCTGCCCTATAGTACTAACATTCAGCTCTATGGCGAACGTGTTTCAATAAGCGAGGCCGGCCGGCCAGGTTGCATTACTCATTAATCCGTGCTTTAGCACCATCAAAAACTTTGCGCCGTAAGTACTGATTTTTCATAGATACCTTTCAAATACGTACGTGTGGCTTGTGCTAATAATAAGCCACGATGGCTAAAAAAATTCATAAACAAATTTAGTACACATAGCTAATTAAAATTGATGATTTCTACTTTCATGCTAAGTCAAACAACGTTAAGTCTGACAAAATTCTTTAAAGAGCAGAACAACCGATGGTTATTAGCAGTGATAATGATTATAATCTACCAAATTAAAAGCTACTACACCCCGTCTATGAAAGAATATATTTATATATGCAAAAAAAATTGTCCTAGAATAAATAAACTTCTAGGCCCTTACCATCATTTCCTCAAAGTTTTCAGTAGTGAGCGTACCCATTTATTCCTTCTGAACATATGCTCTAGTGGTTTATTATGTAGTGGGTGCAACAACATTTCATATATTATTTGAAGAACCAAAACTCACTGCTCCAGCTTCTTGATAAGTGGATAGAAACGTCTTTTCTCTTGTTTGCTAATACTATGTCATAAAGTGGACACAGAGTATATATTTCTATTTTAGAAGATTTATTTGATTTATATTTTTCTTCAATTCCTCTCTTTTTGCAGTTTTGCTCAATCTCCTTCTCGGCCTTCGCTCTGTCCAATGGCGAATAGAGGCCAAATGCCCAAATCATCTCGTTGATACTCCCTCCGTCTCACAATAGAAGTCGTTATGAGATGCGTGGAGGTTAAACTTTCTAGGTTCGTAAAAAATACGTGCAACATTTATATTTCTAAATAAGTTTATTATGAAAGTATATTCAACGATCTATCTAATGATACTAATTATGTATTACAAGTATTAATATTATTTTATATATAAGTGGTCAAAGCTAAAAAAAACTGACTTCTCAAAAAACGAAAACGACTTCTATTTTGGGACAGAGGGAGTACTAGAGTATACTGGAGTATCACAAAAAGAGCTAGCGCAACTAACCCGTCAATAAGTGCATGCATGCACAAGCTTAGCTGCCTCTGCTCTAATAATTACTCATCATGCACGCGCTCCTATATATATATATCGTAGTGCATTTTTATTAACATAGTCCACCACCTTCTGCCTCGGCTAATAACTACTCATCACCACGAGCTCAAATGGCCAGTGCATTAATGCAAGTTGACGTAAAGCGCGTGCATTTTTATTCATGCACGCGCTGCCCAAGCTTCTGTAACCTCCCAAAAAACGATTTTCTACCCATTTTTATTAATGCAAGTTGACGTAAAGCATAAGCTCCTAGAAATCAAATTCTCAGGGGTAGTTTCCATACTAACCACTCGTAGAAATGAGCGATTTCAGAACTTATTGACATAGTCAACCACCTCTAAAAATAGTTCTTGCGCAAGTCATAAAATTCATAATTAACATTTTTAGATAAAGTCGGACGAAGACAAATTTTATATCAAAATTGATGAGTGGCAAACTGGCAACAAAGTTAGAGCAAAATGACCGAAGAGGTGTGCACTGTCAGGAGTAAGAGGCGGACGGCAGGCTCTGTTAACGATCCGGCAAGGCAACAGGCGGGAAGGGATTGCAGGCGGACTCGCCAAGTGGCTGACAGGTGGGGCTTCGGATCGAAGGTCTGGTGATTCCTGACGTGTGGACCAATGGCGGTTGTGCCATGGGGCGTGCTAGCTGGATGGAGCCGGTCTAAAGGGCCGGTTGTAACGACTGAGACGCTATCGATGAGCTGAAACTCTGAAACCCAAGCTGTTCTTGGAACTCTGCTATCCCAATCCAAATACTCTGTTCTTCCTATCTCGTGCTCCAATTCTCGATTTCGTACGAATCCCAGTGGATTCGTGATGACATGCACTTTAGCACTTATCTTGTGGGTATATAGCCAGACTCAGACTATATATAGATAGTACATTTAATGTGAAATTATAGTCCTGGTCACTGCGAATTTTATGTTTTGCCGTACGTAAGTGCATCTGTGCCTCCTAAACTGTAGTACCTACTTGCATTCGCCCCTGTCCACGTACGGGCGGATTTGGTTCAAGCTTGTCATCTATTTCGCTATGGTTCTAGCTCTAAAGGTTCTTGCAATCACTCCAGCTAAAATTTGACAACAATCGAAAACAAAACCGGCGACGCATGCACACGCAACCGTACGTGTCGTCCGTCCACTATTTGTTCATATGAAAATCGAAGACATGTTGCTGTTCATACTTTTTCTGAGATGATGAAAACGAACGTTCAGTTTTATCACGTGCTCTAGCCAAACCGACTCTACTGAATGCTATTGAGCCATACCTATTAAGTAGTGTTCAGTATAGTTCCTACTGAAAGTTTTGTTCTGCATTATACCTAGGGTGTACAGCAGCATGTGTGAGATCTTTAATTAGTAAGATTAAGATTAAGGTGATGCAGTGTGTACCGATTACCCAATGGTCCACAATTTCCACGTGCTGCCACACTGGCCTATATCGATTGCCCTCCCCGCACGTCCACATGACCGCACATGTACGCATTTGCATCTCATCAAACAGAAACACAGCTAAAACAGAAAAGCAAAGAGGCGAACTATGACAATGTACTGAGCTCTGAGCAATAGGCAAATTTTGCTGTTTTTCATGTTGCTATGATCAATGTAACCGTATATATAGTCACATAGGAGTACCTCAAGATTCAAGTAGTACTAGTCAATATGCTACGTAAGTTATTTATATGATCACACACACCGACTGCCACTTCTCAGTCCACCAGAGCCCTCGCTAACTTGCCATGCTGCCAACCTCGCTATCTTTGTTCACCATTGCAACTGCAACCATGCACGCTTGCTCCTTCTCTTTTTTCTCTGCAAGACTGGCTTTGCCCCAGTGTGTGCTAGTGTAGAGGTGCAGAATCATGCTGTCTTTGTCGTATCCATGTACGGCACACACCTCGCACGAGAGACTGCCATTCTCCTGCTGCGTCACGGTGAACACCTTGCCCTCCACCTGGATCTTGATTGGCTTGCCAGGCACAGCAGTGGTGTCATTTGTTCTCACGGATTCCTTAGTTTGGGTCACAGAGCCATTGGATCCGGCAGCTGCGTGCTCTCCTTCAGCTTCCTCAGTAATCTCGCAATCCTCAGTTGGTCCAACAACGCAAGTATCAAGTTGAGCTTCTGCTGGTCGATCTACTGCCATGGATGCCATTGCAACGGTGTTTTTCGTTTGTGGAGTTGCCAACGACGGGGCTGATTCTTCTTTGTCGGCAGCAGTATTTGCTTGTGGCACCGCTGACGGCACCAATCCAGCCTCCACATTGGCTTTCGTGGACTTTGAGCTGTTGTCTTGCACCTCATCAGCCTTGGTGGCAAGGACACACAAGTCATTGTTTCCTCGTGCAGCAAACGTCATCTTGCGCTTGTGCTTTTTGCCAGCCAGGTGAGACCGCATGATGGCCTCGGATGTTGCCTTTGCATTGCAGCTCAGGCAGATGAACAAGCCATCCACCCGGGAGAGAGGGTGCATCACACTGTCTACTTCCATGGTCAGCAAGTCAGAGTTACAGGCATTATTGAGCTGAGCTCCAGCAGAAGTTGCACTGCTTTTCATCACTTCCGTTCCAACAGGCTTAGCACTGTCCCCAGTGGCGACGTCATCTTTTGGTGGTGCCACGGTCACTTCTTGCACCTCACCGTCATCACCAAGCTTTGGTTGCAAGGACTTCTCCAATGGGGCTTCCACCTTTGCTACCATGTCAGAGATGACAGCCGTGTCTGTGTCTATCGACTTTGCTTTGGCTGCTTCCTTTCCACCTGTGGACACGTTGACAGAGGCATCAGAGCTGGTGTTCGCCTTATTCTTGTGCTTCTTCCCTGACAAGTGTTGACGCATGCCATGCATGGATGCGGCCTTCACATCACACAGCTCGCAGAGCAGAAAGCCTTCCAAGCGCCGCACGGTGTGTGTGGCAGTGGCACACTGAAATCCTCCAGAACCAGCTTTTTAGGATCGCACTGCCAATAGCTGAAGTGGCAGCACTAACCGCCTCACCCGATGGCTTGCTGGAGGGTTGACGTTTCTTCAGGCCCTTAGAGATGTGTTTGCTCCCTTGTAGGTGGCACATCATGGTAACGCGGTCTGCCGTCCGCACATTGCACAACTCGCAAAGGAGGTACCCCGTCCATCTGTGTCACTTCGTTCAGCTCTCCTGCGGTCGTCGCCATCATGAACTTTGTCGGTTTGTAATCTCCCAATGTCTCCATCGACATTGCCTCTTCCTCCCCTGCCTCAAGCCCTCTCTCCTCTGTCTCTGCCACTAGCTTTGGCAACTCCGGAAGTGCTACCACCTTCCTCTTGCGCACCTTCCCATTGAGGTGGCCTTGCATGGCCTTCTCACTGTTTGTGGTGATGCCACAAACCATGCAGGTTAGTGTGTTCTTCTGCTTCTTGCTGCTTGGAGCCAACAATGCTCCAGTGGCACGATCAGGGCTCTTCCGCTTGGTCGGCGCGGTTGCAAGTGTGTTTGCTTTTGGGTGGGCCTGCACAACCAGCATGAGAGTTTCTAGATGAGCAAACAAAAGTAACCGCAACTTCAAATAGTAATGACAGCATTATCATGATTGTATGTCAAGAACACACATGAAAATTGAACTCTTAAAAAAATGTTCAAAACATCAGTAGATCATTAAATTTGGCTACCTTTTTACTATAATAAACTACACAAAGCTTTTTTGGGCAAAAAATGGCAGAATTGCATGAATATTGTGAGAGCAACTGGTCATGTTTTTCTGTACCCGTAAAAGATTTGCAAAAGTTAACTGTACTCGTAGAAGATATGCAAAAGCTAACTTAACATACATGCTGTGGGCATCCTTATCACATAGCCATTCCTGTTTAGTTTAATTTTTTTTTTAATTTTGATATTGCAGATGACAATTTTGTTAGACGTTTGTAATGCTCTACAATTTTACATCCATCAGCGTCAAAACTGCAAGAAAATCTGCAGCATGTATTGCAAAGTCTGCAATCTGGCAACAAGGTTTTGAATTGGTTATCCAAAATTTGTGTTAAAACCATGATGAAAGTTTACAAATACTAGGGAAGAAAATAAAAGCACAATTTAAATATCAGAAAGAGTTCCTTCACGCTGACTCCTATCCGGAACAAGGTGTTTGATTAGAAAGAAATTCTTCAAGTATCAACAATGAGGGCACAAACTTTGTATACGGTACTCTATTTTCTTCAGTTTCTAATCATTGCATATCAATAAAAAGGTGAAAATTAATTCCGGTATAGTGCAACACCGCACCCTCGTGCTCAAAACTGTGCTTATTTTCAGCTACTTGTTCAGCATTGATTATTTTAGCCCATACCAAAAGTGCAAAATGAACTATTGAACTGGCATCAATAGTGCATTAAGATTTTCACCAACACGAATGTTCTTTTATGTAGATTACATGAATTATTTGTATCTTGTCTTATATTTATGCTAATGTAGTTTGCCCACAATGCATGCATATTTATCTTTGAAGATGAACAAAGTAAATTTTTCCAATTAGGTCTTGTTTATCCATGGCTCCATAACATATTGTAGCAATCAGAAAAAAAAAATCGCCTCCATGACTAACCAATATACCACACCAAATAGACCTATCCATGGCTCCATGACATACTCTAGCAAACAGAAATAAACATTATGGCATACTGTTGCAAAGGTTATAAGATTCACTAACCAATAAATAAACCACACCAAATAGAACAACAAAATTCTGTAAAACTTAACAAGAAAGGGACACTTTTGACAAACAGCTAAACATGATTATTATTTATGATAACTATTTACACTTGACATTTTGACAATTCTATGGAAAAATTTACCATTCAAATTTTAGTTTAAGAAACAACAAATTTGATATGTTACATAGAAACTTCACCTATGGTTGCTTTAAACATTCAAATGGAATAGTCTAAGTGAATTTGAAAATTTTAGGCATAAATACGTGCTTCAATTGGAAAGCAAATCAACAAAAGACTGAATGATGCATCGAGTTGTGCCCTCGGGGTGAAAAATCTATCTTATCAACGTTAGATCAGAAACATTCCATGATGCGACATAGAAAACGTGAGGAGAGAGCTAGGGAGAAACAGAAAGCGTGATCAAACACAAAAAGCCAAAAGACAGCAGACCTCAGGCGTAACAACAGGCAGCGACGAGTTGGCGGCGGTAATCGTTCCCGTTGACAGCGCCGCCGGCGTGTCAGATCCCCTCGCCGATCGCCCGAGCACAGGCCATGACTGACGCAGCATCTGTTCCCTTAACTCGCTACGTACCTCCAGCTCGAGTTCCCAGTGCTCCGCTTCCTCCCTGAGGATCCGCTCCCTGATCCTCGCCTTCTCCGTCTGCCGTCGCAGCTCGTCAGCGTCGACCGCCGCTGTCTCTGGTGGCGGCAGATTAGGCTGCCATAGCGTCACGGCCGAATCCCCCACGCGCTCTGCCCGACCGCCGCTGCCGTGGCTGTCTGGTGGAATCCCACGTCATATGCATCCAAAAGCAATAGGCAGGTCAGGGAGATCGATCGGTCGATCCCCAACATGAAACGACAGAGAGATCGGGATAGGAGTCTGGGGATCTTCTCACCTGCCGATCCGGAGCCAGGAGTACTTGGCACCGCTGGCGGCGGAGGGGACCGGCTTCGGCGCTCATCTACGGCGCGGTACTGGAACTGCATAGGTTTCGCAACAAATAAAGAGACGAGGAGGTTTTGGGTTTTTCGAGGGGTACATGGCCCTATTTGTTTCCCACCGTAAAACTTTTGTCCTGCACTTTTAGCTCATTTATAGGCTAAAAGTGAGTAAAAGAAGAGGCTAGGGTTTAAAAAATTTGATTTAAGACAACTCTAAGAATCTATTTATTCAAGGACACAGGAGTATCTCAGGAAAAACAAAGATCACTACAAACGATGAAAAAAGACACCAAATGACCTCTAAAATATAAAGTACAACAAAGATCAAATCGGTTGTCTTCTTCTTTCGGACGTCCACTCCTGCCAGAGCTTAAAGATCGCACTATAAAGACAACAAAGAAAAGAACCACCTGCAAACACCTTCACCAAACATGACTTAATTTGAAGACCACAAAATTCACTTGCTGCTGACAACGAGACAAAAAAAACACAGGCTTACGATCCTTCGCCGTAAAAAAGAGTGTCAAAGATTATGTCAAAATAGCCGCATCGAAAGCCAACGAACTAGGTGAGCCCCACACACCTGTTTTCACGCCGCGTTGTGGCTTCAGAGTTATGGATCGAGATTGATTTAGGGCCCGTTTGGCACGGCTTTCACCGGCTCGGACTCCCCTGGCACCAACACTGTAGCGTACTGTTCATAGAAGCGGCTTTCCTCTCTCCCCCTCTCACTTACACTCGCACTGTTCATTGGAGCCGGAGAAGCTCGTTTTCCTGGCTTCTCCGGCTTCATCTCCCGCATGCTACAGTACCCGCGCTACAGTGAGCCAGAAAAGGTGGAGAGAGAAAACCGGCTCATCGCTACAGTGATCAGCGCAGATTTTATCAGGCGAAGCCCGAGCCGACGGAAGCCGTGCCAAACGGACCCTTAGTATTAAAATATCCTGACCTGTGGACCCTACGTTGGCTTAGAAACTTGTGCAGGTGGATGGCCTATAATATTAACTATATCCTACGTAGATGCTCTTACAAAGAGTTGCTTAATTCATAGGCGAAGCCAGACAGTAAAGCCACTGGGTCAGTTCCACTAATCATCATTGTCGATGAAATATGGTCGGCAGTCTACCTAGGGGTATGCCCAAGGTAGTAGATTATTGGCAGACAGGTGCGCAAGCTACGAACGAGATAATGACACAAGACAGACACGAGGTTTTATCCAGGTTCGGCCGCCATGAGGGCGTAATACCTACGTCCTGCGTCTGATTGTATTGCTGTATGTCAATGAGATTGTGATGTTTTGAGAGGGGTCCCCTGCCCGCCTTATATAGTCTGGAGGGTAGGGTTACAGATCTAAAAACTAATCCCAACCGGTTACAATTGCCATAGGTGACCGGATAAGGATTCATATTCTAACCGACCAGGATCTTGCTTGATCTCCAAGTCTGCCTTGATTCCTTGCGCGAGACTCCGAGTAGATCGGCTGGGCCGCGCGTCGTCTTCTAGTGGGACAGACCCCCTGGTGCGGGCCGGCCCAATCCTAGCTGTAAGGGTATAGGGGTTAATACCCCCACAATCACCTAAATACACTAGATAATAGTAAATTTATATAGGATTTGTCAAATTTTATAGGGGTCAGCTGACCCAAAAAAAACCCTGACTCCGCCCGGGTGCCCTTAGACTCCAACGAGGAAGCTATATGGGCACCCAAACTCAAAATGGATAGCAAGAGATCCAAAATAAACCTCTAATAGAGTACCTATACGAAAGACCTATTTTGGGTTGCCTGAGAGACACAAGCCAAATATGGACATCCTCTCTCCTGAAAACCCATTTATAGAAATGATTCTCTTTTGGGTCTTGTTGTTGGAGAAGATGCCGAATAGGTATTGAACCTTTTGTCTGTAGCTCTACCCAAAAGACGAATGTGTCTTGTATTCTGGATGTTGTTGTTGGAGATAGCCTTAGGGTGAGTCCGTGAGACACTTCTGTTCCAACTAAAAAAACAATGTTGACAATTCCATATAAGTATTTCTTCCATTTTGTCACCGATGTTTGACCATTCAGATTCGTCTTATTAAAAATCTATACAAATATTAAAAAACATAAGCTATTCTTGAAGTACTTTTAATAATTATACAAAGTCATGAGAAAATAAATAATAATTACATGATTCTTTTAGTAAAATAGATAGTCAAACATCACGTTAAAAATCAACGAAGTCAAATATTTAAAAACAGAGGTAATATCATATTTCCAATCGGCCAATCTGACTATGTTAGGCCAATAGGTCCACTAATGATAACCTATACTCCCTCCAAAATAAGTGTTATTTTTGTTTGTCCAAGTCAAACTTTTCCAACTTTAACCAAGTTTATAGAAAACAATACTTATGGTACTGTGGGGGTATTAACCCCTATACCCTTATGGCTAGGCTTGGGCCGGTCCGGATCAGAGGGTCCAGTCCGCTAAAAGACGACGCGCGGCCCAGCCAACCTATTCGGAGTCCCGTGCAAGGAGTCAAGATAGATTTGGCGATCAAGCAAGATCTCGGTCGGTTAGAATAGGAATCCTTATCCGCCACCTATGACAATTGTAATCGGCTAGGATTAGTTTTAGATCAGTAACCTCGTCCCCGGACTATATATAAGACGGGCAGGGGACTCATCTAAAAAATATCTTATTGACATACAGCAATACAATCAGACGCAGGACGTAGGTATTACGCCCTCACGGCAGCCGAACCTGGATAAAACCTCGTGTTTGTCTTGCGTCATCATCTTGTTCGTAGCTTATGCACTGCTCGCCGACAATCTACTACCTTGGGTATACCCCTAGGTAGACCGCCGACCATATTTTCGGCCGATAAAGGGCGCGCCGTAGGGGGTGTGCGCGATCGCTCTCCAAGCGTAACAGGATGATCATCATCCTCGCCCGTGGTTACGCCGAACGGCCTCACGTTCACCGTCGGCCAGATCACGGACCATCGCCCCGATGACTTCATCGCCATGATCACGGAGGAGGTGCGGACTCAATCGCGTCGACCATCGCTTCACCGTGATCGCTACGGCTCCACCACGGTGGATCTGGCTCCGACCACATCCGCATCGCCTTCAGCCACACCGATAACCCGTCGTCCGCTTCCTCGCTACAAAGGGAAGCATATCGACAACACCGACCTGCTCGACTCCATCGATCGGGTCAGCACCAAACTTGCCGAAACCCTAGCTCTGATAAGTTCAATTCAAAGTCAACCTAATGAGCAGGTAACCGCTACCCACAACAGATCTACCCGACCAGCTCGGGCGTTGCCGTCGTCTGCGACTCGATGCAGATCTCGTGGTCACATCTACTCTCGAAGGCGCTCCGTTTCGTCGCCACCCGCCCTCGCGATGGGTCTCTCGCTCTCCGAATATGAAACCTCGATGGAGAATTACTGTGCTCAGCCCTACGGCCCGCAAACACTGCTTCCAACTATGTGTACGAGATGCAACGATCTTGGCCAAGACCACGCAACCGTCAACATGGTCCGGATCGAGGAGTTCCAAGAAGGATCGGTCCCACAGTTCGAGAGGGGGGCTCAAGCTCCACGTCCCAAGACCGCATCTAATGGCTCCATCCACACCGAGCTCTAGCATCATGACGACGAAGGCGTTGAATACGATATGGATATCCCAGACCACGCCCCGGGGTTCCCACGATTCCCATCCTTCCCACCAAGGCGAGGAGACTTGATCAACGTTGACAGTAATGACGAACCACCGGCTGTCGGCGAAATAGAACAAGAAAGGCTAGCACGCGAAGCACGCAATATTGACCGGTTTAACCATCAACAAATCGAAGCCGAGGCTGAAGAGGAGGCACAACGCATAAGGGTCCAGCCACGCGACCTTAACAATGCCTTCGATAGGGTGGGCGACAAGCAGGTCTTCAGGACCCCAAGCACCAACGTAGCTGTTGCTATGGCGACGATGCAACGACTACCCAATACCCCGGAAACCCAGGCAGTTCGTGATGATATACAAGCTTACTTGACGGCTGCTATGGCCCAGACCGCAGAGATTGTAAATCAAGCCCGGGCTCTATCTGTCTCAGTCAAATCAAGCCACAGTCGCCAGTACTCAAGTCGCTCACAACCACCCAACCAACGTGGCTCGCGCAACAATGACCCATCAGACAACCGTCAAGGCGGGAACGGTGGCCATGATGGTGGTCGGGACGACAATCACCACGGCTATCGGGACGACAACCGCGATAATCGTCGTGATAACCGCGGTCGCAGGGTTATCTAGGGTGGCAACCGGGATCGTCGTGACGGCAATAACGATCTCCGCCATTACCTCGGAGAACGCGATCGCATTAATCAAAGAGCCAACGATCGTGCATCCCACGAAAGCTATCGTCGTATAGAATATGATACTACCCATGGCCCTCTGGGTTTGAAGCAGTTTACTCCACACCTTCACCAAGTCATATGGCCCAAGAACTTCAAGCTCAAAAAACTTCAGAAGTACGACGGCAAGGAGAACCCCAAATTATGGGTCATGCTCTACGAAACCGCGTGCAGATCAGCCATGGCTGACGAGCACGTCATGTCTAACTACTTCCCAGTCGCTGTCGGCCATGCAGGCCACCAATGGCTGGTCAGCCTGCCGGCGAACTACTTTGATTCTTGGCAAGAGCTCAAGCAAGCTTTCATTGATAACTTCATTGCTACTTGCGAGCAACCCGACAACAAATATGATCTGCAGCGGATTCGAGATCGAAAAGATGAGCCACTACGCGAGTACGTCCGGCGTTTCTCGGAGATGCGCATCAAGGTCCCATCAATCTCCGACAATGAGGCAATTGAGGCTTTCATTACTGGTCTCCGTTTCCACGATGCCCTACGGGACAAGCTCCTCCGCAAGAGACCTGAATCAGTCATAGCACTCCTGGCCACTGCCAAGAAATATGCGGATGCCGACGATGCTAAAAAGATAATCATCGAAGAAGCAGCAAGGGTTCCACGCTCTGACCACCCTCCACACCGCGACGACTACCGCCGC